CCCCTTCTCCCCTCCCCAGCAGTGTTGAAGACCCACCCCCCCACCGTCGGCCTCTTCCACGCCTGCGACATCGACTCCGTCCACCTCGTCTGCCTCGTCTCCCACTTCTCCCCCGCCGCCGTCACCGTCGAGTGGTTGGTGGACGACCAGCGCCTCGTCCCCGCCCCTCCCGTTGACCCCATCGTCCCCGAAGCCGCTGGCGGGACCTTCTCTACCAGCTCTCACCTCAACGTCTCCTTGGAGGAGTGGCAGCAGAAGACCTTCTCCTGCAAGGTCACCCACCCCGCCTCGAGCAGCGTGCAGGAGGTCACCGGCCACAAGTGCTTGAGTGAGTCCCGCCAACGTCGGGTTGGGTGGTGGCATCTCCTTGGGTTGAGTAGACCTTGAGTTGGGTGGTGGCATCTCCTTGAGTTGACCCCATGTTGAGTTGGGTGGTGGCATCGCCTTGAGTTGACCCCATGTTGAGTTTGGTTGTGGCTTTTTTCTGGGGGTGACACCATGTTGAGTTGGGTGGTGGCACCTCCATGGGGTTGACCCAATGCTGTTGGGTGGTGGCATCTCCATGGGGTTGACCCAACGTTGAGTTGGGTGCTGGCACCTCCATGGGGTTGACCCCACGTTGAGTTGGGTGGTGGCATCTCCATGGGGTTGACCCCATGTTGAGTTGGGTGGTGGCATCTCCCTGGGGTTCCCCCCCCCTTCCTTCCGAGCCTGGTGGCACCTCCACGACGTTCACCTCCACCGCTTCCCCCTTCCAGGTGCCCCGGCGGACGCCAGCCGCATCCAAGTCTTCATCCTTCCCCCCACCCCCTCGGAACTCTACGTCTCCCAAAACCCCAAAATCCGGTGCTTGGCCACCAGTTTGCCCAGTGACGAGGGGATGGTGGTGAGCTGGACCCGGAAACAGGGTGGGACCCTCCGTCCCCACCTCCACCCGCTGAAGGCCCAGTTCAACGGCACCTTCACGGCCACCAGCGAGGTCCCCATCTCCACCTACGACTGGGAGGGGGGCGAGACCTTCACCTGCACCATCAACCACGCCGAGCTGCCCTCCCCCATCAGCAGGAGCATCAGCAAGAAACCCGGTAAGGCCCTCCGCTCCTCCCCCGCCTCATTTGCATAGCGCCACGCCTCATTTGCATTGCGCCGCGCCTCCTTGGCCTCGCGTTGCGGCACGGCGCCTCGCCTCGGGCGGAGCAGGGGGGGCACGTCGGGGCTGATTGGGAGCTTGTCACACCTAGGTTGCGTTGCGCCACGCCTATCTTGCGTTGTGCCACGCCTATCTTGCATTTCGCCACGCCTATCTTGTGTTTCACCACACCTATCTTGCGTTGCGCCACGCCTATCTTGCGTTGTGCCACACCTATCTGGCATTGCAGCACGCCTATCTTGCGTTGCACCACGCCTATCGTGCGGTGCACCACGCCTACCTTCCTTGCACCACGCCTATCATGCATTGTGCCACGCCTATCTTGCGTTGCGCCACGCCTATCTTGCGTTGCGCCACGCCTATCTTGCATTACATCACGCCAATCTTGCATTGCGCCACGCCTATCTTGCGTTGCACCACGCCTATCTTGCGTTGCACCACGCCTA